GTCCCTGGGGCACTTCTCCCACAGTTTAGGTTTGTCAAGAGGGAGATTTGTTTGTCTACAAGCTGGTTTTTTCAGTTGGACTTGTTTTTATAATTATATAAACTAATGAAATATAAGCAAAAGGAGAAATTGCTGTTGCCTAAAATCCAAAGAGAATGCTTTCAATAAACAGTAAAGGTTAAGTAGGCTAAAAAAACCAAAACAAATCTTAGAGTTCAAGTGTAGATGAAATTAAATGTAAAATAATCGGGAAATTTTGTTCAATCTAGAAGAAATCTGAACTCAGATTGTTCTCCAACTGTCCTTGAGTTTTGGCTCTTCCTGAAAGATGCTGAGACTGGAACCCTTGACACTGAGTCAAATTTTACTTTTTAAATGTCCATTATAGCCGGGCTTGGTGGCTCAGCCTATAATCCCGTGCCTTGGGAGGCTAAAGTGAGTGGATTGTCTGAGCCTGCGAATTCGAGACCCGCCCAGGCAACTTGGTGAGACCTCATCTCTACAATAAATAAATAAATTAGCTGGGCATGGTAGTACACGCCTGTAGTTCCAACTATACTTGGAAAGCTGAGGCGGAAGGATCACCGGAGCCCAGCAGATCGAGGCTGCGGTGGCCACTGAAGGGTGCAGGAAGCAACCAGAGGGGCGACTCCCAAAATGGCACGGTGAGGACACACCAGACAACAAAGGCCCTAGGTCCCGGCTTCTGTGAGCACAATTTCCCGCATGCGCGCGAATTTCAAACCTTCCCACATGCGAATTTCTTTTTTTTTGAGTTGGAGTCTCACTCTGTCGCCCAGACTGGAGTGCAGTGGCAGCTCCCAGCCACTGCAGCCTCGACCTGCTGGGCTCCGGTGATCCTTCCACCTCAGCCTTCCAAGTAGCCGGAAATATAGGCATGCGCTACCACGCCCAGCTGATTTTTTGATTTATTGTAGAGATAAGGTCTGGCTGCCGAGGCGGGTCTCGAACCGCGGACTCAGGCAATCCGCTCACCTCAGCCTCCCAAAGGTGTGGGATTACAGGCTGAGCCACCGAGCTGGCTCCCGCACGGGAATTTCAAACCTTCCTGAGCGAATTTCAAACTTGCAAGCCTCCAATCCTTAGCCAGCTTTGTTATGCGTCCAATAGGACTGTAACACGGCATTGGCCCCACCCTACTCTCATGCAGCTCCTCCAATAGGAACACAGCACGGCCCTTCCGGCCCCTGTCAGGCTGATAAATGCAGCCCTCTCCTTGCAACTCTCTCTCTCTCTTTCTTTTTTCCCCAGTTACAGATCCTCTCTGTAACAGCCCCCTTTAATAAATCTCTTGGTCCTGGCCAGGTGTGGAGTCATTACTGGTGCTGAAATTCTTTCATTGCTGCCGTAACTCAGATTGGGTGCTCTCCCGCCCTTGTGCGGGTCTATCCCCGGAGGCGGGATCCACGACCCAGCCCCGGTGGCCACTCCAGCCCTCCCGGACCTTCCCCACCGTTCTGAACGCATGCCCTGCATCTACCGGCGACCATTGGATAGGTGAGTTCCCCAGACAGAAGCCTGAAACTTGCCCGGGATCCCCCAGGGGGAACTGACCGTTGATCGTCCGGCAGCCCCTCCGGCCCCAGGGCGAGGGGGAACGCACCCCCCTCGACCTTCATGGCCACAGCAGACCCTAAAGGCTTCCTCTTCTCTTTCATCTCTTAAACCTTAAAACTCCCGCGGGCTGGGCTGCAGCGGGCCCCAGGGGTCCCACGTCTGCTAACCCACAGCGGCTTCCGTAAAACTCTCTCTCCCACTTCCTCTCTCTCTCTCTCTCCACAGAGCCTTTCCCTTTTTCCCTTGTAACCACCGCTTTAATAAATCTCTTGGCCTTAAACAGGTGAGGAGTCATTACTGGCGCCAAACTTCTTTCAGCCACTACACTCCAGTCTGGGTGACAGACTGAGACTCCAACTCAAAAAAATAAAAAAATAAAAAATAAATGTCCACTACAGCTCCAACTTGGTGTCACATGCTTTAAAAAGAAATCTTGTCCCTTCAAAATACTGCCAAAAAAAGGTGTATTTGTATGTTTTGCTTTAATAAAATATTTAAAGTGTTTTTCATTTTTACTATTTCCCTTCTTTAGCTGCTTTAACTGATTACCCAACTAGCTGTATGTATATCTAGTGGCTTCTGAGTAGACATGTCCACTGTTCGCCTTCTCCTGCCTGGTCAACCCACTGCCCTCACACTATCTCGTTTCTCTACCTCGTCAGCATAGCACAGCATCAGTAAAAATCAGTCTTTACATTATAATTATAACAAGAACATCTTTCATTTTAATAAAAGGTCTGGAAGGATCTAGATTAAAGTGTTAACTGTTATTTCTGCATGAATTTTAATAACAATTCATTTCTTGTCATGCATGTGAATAACAATGATGAGAACTAGTACTGGCATGGTGATAGGACAGAAAGAATTAGTATTGGCTTGGTGATAATTTTTATACAAGAACAAAAAATACTTTGTCTTTTTGTGAGAATGTATGCTTTACAAAGAACTTTTAGGTCCATTATATCACTGGCACTTCAGAACCATCCTATGAAGAAATCATCTATTTCTGCTTATACACGAGGAAACCAAGATGGAGAGAAGGGACCTGTCTGGTCTCAGATGACAAAGCTGGTAAGAAATAGAGTCTGTTCAGATGCCCAGGTCCCTGGTACCTGCTTCAAATGACTTTTTTCTTTCATATAAATCACTAAAGATTTAATAAAAACATATTGATCATAGATAAATAAGCAACCTCTACCAGAATGGAGAGTATTTGGCAATATAAATATAGTTTTTTCTCACTGAATTTAATGTTTATATCAAAAAATTAGGTAGTCATTTTACATTTAAGGAATAAAAACCATTTAAAAAATTACAAGGAGTGAAAACCTTTTAACCAAGTTTACATTTCTCTTTTGCTATAATTTTTTTTTTTTTTTTGGAGTTGGAGTCTCACTCTGTTGCCCAGACTGGAGCGCAGTGGCGTGCTCCCGGCCACCACAGCCTTGACCTGCTGGGCTCCAGCGATCCTTCCACCTCAGCCTTCCAAGTAGCTGGAACTACAGGCGTGCACTACCATGCCCGGCTGATTTTTTTTTTTATTATTTATTGTAAAGATGAGGTCTCGCCAAGTTGCCCAAGTGGGTCTCAAACCTACGGGCTCAGGCAATTCACTCACCTCGGCCTCCCAAAGCACTGGGATTAAGGCTGAGCCACCGAACCCGGGTTCTATAATTTTTAATAACAATTCATTTCATCATAGCTTATTGCAATGTACACATGTATTTGCAGTACCCATTACAATCGTGAAACAAAATTGAAAGAAGTACACAGTTAATAGTGGCCCTCAGAGGAAACTAATTTACCTTCTATTTAAAACTCTATGGTATATAAACATTACATAATAATGCTACTTAACCACCTTTTTGTCACAAGAATCATCACTAAAGTTTCCAGAAATAAGTCCACATAATAATTAAATATTTAAAAGGTGAAATATTCCTTATTTTAATTTTGGGAAGATCTTTTTTCTTTTTCATTGCTAAGAAACACTTTGATAGTTTTAAAGTAAAATCTATTAAAGTCTAGATAGCTAAAACTGTACTCCTGAGTTTAAGCTTACAGATAAGTCTTTTGTAAGAAGTTCTCAATAAAATACCCTCCCTCCCATCCCCCTGCCCCAAATCTTGTATTGTTTCTTACAAAACTTTGGTCAAGAGTATAAATATATCTAGGCAGATGCATATGCCATATGATAGTAGCAACAGTAAAGCCCAACTAATGACTTTGGGTATTAAAATAGAAGGCAATTAAAATGTACTCAAAGTTACATTAGGAAAAGCTTTCAAAGGGCAATACTGAAACAGTCACAAAGGTTAAGAAAACACGGATATCATCCGGGCTCGGTGGCTCAGCCTGTAATCCTGCGCCTTTGGGAGGCTGAGGTGAGTGGATTGCCTGAGCCCGCGGGTTCGAGACCTGCCTGGGCAGCAAGACCTCATCTCTACAGTAAATCAAAAAATCAGTCGGGCGTGGTAGCACGCGCCTGTAATTCCGGCTACTCGGAAGGCTGAGGCAGAAGGATGGAGTCTGGGCGACCGAGTGAGACTCCAACTCAAAAAAAAAAAGAAAACACGGATATCAAAGTACAAATGGCTATAATGTTAAAATAGACAAAAACTACTATACAAGAGACTCTTTAAAATTAAACATAAAGAACATAACACATGAATCAGGATGATTTTCCTGTTCTACTCATGGATTTTAGTCATTCTTTCTGTCTTTCTTTCTTTCTTTCTTTCTTTCTTTTTTGGTCTTTTTGCTTTACTTTCTGAGATTTCCCAACTTTATCTGGCCCTTTTGTTGCATTTTTGTTTTCTTTTTTTTTTTGAGTTGGAGTCTCTGTTGCCCAGACTGGAGTGCAGTGGCACATTCATGGCCACCGCAGACTCCACCTGCTGGACTCAGGTGATCCTTCTGCCTCAGCCTTCCAAGTAGCTGGAACTACAGGCATGCACCACCACGCCCGGCTACTTTTTGACTTATTGTAGAGATGAGGTTTCCCCAAGTTACCCAGGCTAGTCTCAAACCCCTGAACTCAGGCAATCCTCTCACCTCGGCCTCCTAAAGTACTGGGATTATGGGCATGAGCCACCATGCCTGGCAGATTTTAGTCTTTTATAAAGTTGGTTATGTTGACATCTAGAATAACTTTTTTTTTTTTTTTTTTGAGTTGGAGTCTCACTCACCCAGACTGGAGTACAGTGGCCG